CCAAGGATCAAAAGAGAAAGCGAAGGTCCTTTTTTTTTTTGGCTCTTGTCAAGATCACCGAATGCATGAGTCGAAGGGTTGCGCGATTTGCAACAACGTCATTTGCAGCTGTGTGCTCTACACAAGTCTAGGAGTCGGCATCACCAGATTCGATTTTGTGTTGTTTTTTTTTTCGTTCTCGAGGTTTTTCCTCCTTTAGTAATTTCATTTCTCTCCACTCGGCTCTTGATCCTATTCGTTATCGCGCCCATTGCACTGTCTTATTTCAATTCCGAGAAATTCTAGGAAAATAAAAACACTCCAAGCGAAGGAAAGCGACTGAGGGCCTGACAGTGATGGTTCCAATTACCTTTGATCCCTCTGGGATTCTATTCTCTCTCTTTTTCCGTCCCGTCGTGTTTGCAGACCTAAGAGTCTTGGCTTCTTCCCATATCCGGATGTATCCCGTTGATTGTCTCTGGCTCTGGGAAACGCGACGGTTGACTGGCCTTTGCCCTGAGAAATGCGACGGATGACTTTGGCCTTTGCCCTGGGAAATACGACAGGAATTCATCGATTCCGAGGCAGACGATAAACTTTTTTTTTGTTTCTCTCATGCGTGAAAACTCTTGTGAAGCAGTCAAGTATGTGGAATCATCTCCCCCGAGAACCGAAGAAATGGTGCATGAAAGAAGAAAATTTCCCCCTTCAGTCATTCCTTTTTCTTTCCTTTTTTTTTTTAGGCCCGCCGGAACCAGTGAAAAATTGCTCGGTGAAATGGAGAAGCCGGGAGGCCCTGGCCGTGGAATGCCTGCCGGGGAATTCCCGCGGCCTCGCCCAGGAATTCCACTTGCTCATCATGGAAGAAGGTAATAAGACCTCTACGGTGTATCACCATAAAAGCAAGGGGAGGAGGGGGGGCAGAGGAGGGCAGAGGGGGGGAGGCCAGGGTGGAGCTCATCCGAGGGAAAGAAGGCACCAGCTGCACTGCCTTCTCGAGATATGCCTTCTCTCCATAACCACGCAGCTTCTTTCGATCGGAAAATGAGCTCCCGGGGCTTCCACTATTTTTTTCCGGATGGTGCAGTGCTGCCGGATCCATCAACACCCTCCAATTCTCTCTATATATGTTTCATCATTTTAGCCGTTATTTACTCACCGCATTTTTGCTACTGTTTACTCACTGCAAATATTCAATACGTCCTGCTTCTCTCTCACATCCGTCTGTGCGATTCCATCTGCCCCGACAGGGAGAGTGGTGGTGAACACTTCCAGCGCGAGCGCGGAGTTCTCCGTGTCCCAGCTGGAACCCGGGAAGAACTACACCCTCGTCGTGCAGGCGGGGAACTCGGTGGGGACGAGTGACCCGGTCGCCATCTCCGTGGACTTGTTGCCGCTCAGCCCGTCGCCGGAGACGGGGGCGCTGGCGAAGGCCCGTGAGTCCTTTGTGGTTTCTTGGGTTGTTCGTAGATGGCTCTGGGTGTCAGGGGGGGCGAGGGGTGTGGCTCGCTGTGTTCGCGGTTTCAGGTGTGTCTTTTTATTATCGATCAGCTCCCGAGGAAAAGATGCCTTGGGTCGGTTACATCATCTCATTAATGGGGTCGTCGTCCCCAGCCGAACTCTTGTAAAGCGGAGTTGCGCTGAGGGATCGAGGCCCCTTCTTGATGAAACGGGGGAAAATCTATCCGTCGTATTTCTGAAAAAGAATTTTCCGTGTTCCCGGGCCAAGAAGACCGGGAGAGAATTCATGGCCTGATGCGACGCTTTTCTTTCCCTAGCAGCGCCGTGACGTCACAGTGACGTCATGGCGCTGGCTTCTCGAAATGGAGCTGGAATCCCGAAGGTACTAATGAGCGATGACGTCAGAATTCGAGGAGTGATCTCAGAGGGCCAGGAACGTGGATTCCTACGGGTTTTTTTCCCTCTCTTTCGCGGTTACTGCGATTTGCGGAAGTCCCCCTCGCGATTTCCCTGATACGAGCTGAAGGAACTGAGGGACGAATGCTTCCTATCTCCTCGTGATGTCTCCCGTGGGAAACGGCACGGGGGGAAGGGGGAAGGGGAGGAAGGGGGAACGGACGCTGTTCTTCCTGTGGAGGTGATGGAGTGGTATATCTTCTTTCGAACACCGGAGGCCTAATACATCACGGGCAGCGCTGGATGTCGTTATCTTCGAGTCGGGGGTTGGGTGGCTCGATGTGTGTGGTAAGGGGCAAGGGAGAGATTGCTCCGCTCGGGGAGTGGTGGCGATCGGGCGATTGTGGAGGGGAGAAAGCGTGGGAATTTGAGGTGTGGGGGATTTGCCTCGGTCTCGGTCGGTTAGGCGGTCGATCGCGAACACGCGGGAATTGATCGCATCTTCGCGGGGTTTAAGAATTTCTAAAAAATTCTCGACTCGTTTCCGACAGCCTGGTACCTGCTGCCGACGCTGCTGGGCTCGGTGGCCGGCGGAGTGGTGACCCTGGGGCTCCTCGTCACCTGCCTCTGGTTGGTCAGGGTCAAGGTCACGGGGAGGTCGCGGTCGCGACCGCGGAAACCCACCAACCACCATGGGAAGGATTTTCACGCGCTGCAGGACGACGAACAGGATCCGGATATCATTCCGGCCAACGACGTCGGTGAGTTTCCCCATTTTTATATCCCTTAGTCCTTTATGTCCTTCAGTTAGTCGTGTTTCTTCGTGGAAGAGCTCCCCGGAATGATGGGTAGAAACGCTTACGAGAGCACTGATTGAGTCCAGATGCAGTAAAGTCTCGGTAAGAGCCCATCACGGACGTAATTCGGTCCTATTAGCGAGGTGCATGGTGAAACAGAAGACCGGCGGAAACCCCTCGGGAGTCTCCTGCCATCTATCCTCTGACCGGCGAATTACCATCGGTTCGAGGGCGAGCAGGGTGCTCGCTCGCTTCTCCCCCGAAACAAGACTCCCCGTAATTTGCAATGAAGCAGGATTAGCTGGATGATGCTCCATTAGGAAAAGCTCCTTTTCTTCGAAGCGAGGGCCGATGCAGCGGAAGGCATCGTCTGTGCCTCGGCGTCATTGCAACCTTTTTGTCACGGTTTCCCTGTGCGGCGGATCTTCACTGATTCGCACGTCCCGGTCTATTCGGGGAAGTGCGAGATGCGACGTCTATTCGAGATGCTATTTGTGTCTGCCTAGAATTTGAGCATGCGAGAGTGATGGCACTTTTTCCCTCATTATTTATTTATTTTTTGAAAGATCTTATTTAAAAAGCATTTAAAAGAAAAATGTATATTTGATTTCTTTCTCCTCTTTCCTTCCCAAGATGCTTTCAACTGGCGTGGATGCATCGTTATGTAATGCATATATGTTTAACTTGATGTCCCTTCCGCCAGAATCCGAGACTGAGCACTGAAAAGATGCCAGGTCCGTTAAATTTTAACGTCAGAGGAAATGACAGAAAGGCGGAATGAGGCGAGAACCCAGCAGATGGGCCTTTGGTATCCATTTACTCATCCTTTTGTGTAAAGGACAATGGGGGAGCCGGTCCAGTACATTCGTTTTCGATGGTTTTTCGGCCTTCGATGATGATGGTAATGGACAGGGTTGGAAATAAGAATAAATGAGAAACTACACGCAAGCGTTATAGAGGCGAGGATCACCGACAAGAAGGGGAGAAATCAGGAAATAATTATTGTCGCCGATCGATGAAACAGAAAACTAGAGTACCAGCCCAGGTACAGATCTGCCATTCCTTTGGCCCCTGTACCACTGAGATTACCTTCTTCGCCGCATTCTAACCAGCCAATTTGAACTAAATCATAGTTGTCATTGGTACGTCATAGACCCATATGAAAAGGCCCGGACAACTTAGACATGTTCTCGATGGTTCGAGCGTTCGCGTCACGTGGAGACGAGAGGAGAGTAAAAAGTGTAGGATGCCAGATATGGTATTTCACTCGTACGCCTAGCAACCCTGTCTACGCGGCCACGAGCAGGCCCCTCTATCCTATCGTCCACTATGGATCCGGGAGAGCTAGAGGGGAAGTGGATGTTTTAGTTGTAGACTGGCACCCCGACCCAAGGGGAAAGCTGCACATGCGCTGTGAATTGTGTGATTGTGTTTTTCCGGTTGCTATGGAGACTGCGGACAGACTGAATGAAAAAAAGAGACTTTTATCTGCCGTTTTCTCATAGTACCCATGGGAATGGCAGATAAATGTGTTGAGCCGTCGTGCGAGCTTCCAGAAGGAACACCACCTTGCTAACGCAGTCGGTATTGATGTTAGTTTGTTGTTGGTTGGAGCAGGGTGGGACAGTCGCCTTCTCGTCTGACTGGGACCTCCAAAAATCATAGCTTATGAAAAAATTCCGTTATTACTGTTTATTACAAAACAATGGGATGCTAAGTCCAGAGTGCGCATTATGCCAAGCTATTACACTTTGACTAATTGAGGGAAAATCTATAGGAGCAACATCAATCGAGGCATGAAATGTGGCTGAGAATCTGGGATAAATTACTGTTGCCGAAGCCAATATTCCCTCTTTAAAATACCATAACGTAGTAGACTGAGTCGTTCGAGCAACAAATGGGCCAATAAATGAATACATGAATTTCAAATGACCCTCCGCTCCTATTTTTATTCCTGGTCCCCCTGCTCCAGAGAATAGACCTTGAAGAAGCCGACCCCGGTTTTGTATTAGTATTTCGTTTCTCGCCTGCAACGAATACGGAACAAAGCGTGGTTTCGCTATCGCTCCTTAATGTTGTCGTTACGGAACGTTTTCGCTGCTTGGACTACGGCGTCTGTAATACGTAATTGCATGCTACGTCGCGTTTTGGTCGCGACTGGCCACGTTAACAAAAAATTCAACTAGAAATCGAGCGTTTCATCGATTAGTTTTAATCCACTCATGCTCTCACCACGTTCTCAATGGAATGACCCGCTCTCGGCATGCCATTTCGCCGATCGACGCATCTCATCGTCGACAACGATCCGATCGATCTTCAGTTTCAGCCACTTGGCCCCCGAAGGCTTTCAAAGCAGATTCATCACGCTGCCCAAATGGGATTCGGAGTTTGATTACTTCGTGATAGTCGATCCATCACGAGTACTCAATCGGCTACTTGGATCGAGTTGCCATCCGCAGATATAAGTGATAGATGAGTAGAAAAAAAAACCAAGGAATGATAATTTTAAAAATACACTACTTAAAAAAATTAAAGGATCCACTTTTTCAAAAATACCCAGTGTCAACAAGCTTGACCTTCATGAATTTTTTTTAAATGTATCAAAGGGTTCAATTGCCTTAACTTCAAGAGTGACTGCAACGGTCTGACAGCATCCATACTGAGTTTTAATGGAATTCGCCCATCCATTAACAAGCTACAAGAATTTGGAGAAGTGATCCTTCAAATTTTTTGAGTAGTTTAATAATATAAAACATTGTCATAAAATGATAAATGAAAGATTTCGTTGAACAAAATTGCTATGCTGAACCTCGGAAACGCGTCAACAGGGGCGAAGACGCGGTCGTGGGGCTCGGGCTACGACCTGGACGCCCTGCAGGTGCTGCCCCCGCCGCCGTCCTTCATCTCGTCCGCCTCGCCCTCGCCGGAGTCCCTGGTGTCCCTGGGGGGGATGCCGCTGCACCGGTCGAGGAGCCTCACGGGTGGGGGGACGTCGCTGCTGGATCGGGAGGTGGAGGAGGGGGTTCGCGTGGGGACGTTCTATGCGACGCTGGCGAGGCCGAAGAGGGTCAACTTCATACTTGAACCGAGGGTGCAGGTGAGTCTCGTTACAAAAAATGTATATACCTTTGGGTAAAAATTATTCCTGTTCCTTGTTCATACTTGAACTTTCTTCCTCTTATCCCACTTCACAATGATGATAGATTTTGCTTAATTGTAAAATTAGATTTGGAGAGTTTCCCAAAGATACGCCAATTTCCGTTATGGCATAGAGGGAATGGAATAGAATATAGAGGATAAGGAGCAATCAATGAGAAAAATCGGAAAGTCCCTCGTTGAGAAAGCATTGGGAGTTTCTTCTTTTCGGATATAAATATCATCACCCTCTTTTCGCCTTCGATATTCGATGGTTCCCAATGAGTGCCGTTTACCGTTTCGTGATAATCGGCTTACATGGATATGCAGTAATTATTTTTCCTGAGTTGTCAGGACTGTACTAAAAAAAATGAAGAAAATATTCATTGGACCCTCATGAGTACTTCTCTGCAATTGCTTCCAAGAATGATGATGAAAGCTTTCCATGAATAATGAGGGAGTTCTCCGAATAAAACTACAAGGCAGTCGTAAAAATAATCTGTCTCTACGGGGTGGACACGAACGCTGTTCGTTCTGCTTTAAAAACGTAGCCAAGTGAAACGAGGAAAATAATAATAATTGTTTCTACTATCATCCTGGAAAAGTCAACTTTGCAGCTTTGGTAGTTTACCCTCCAGAGCCTTTTATTTTAGGTAGCAAACTTTGTGTCCATCCTGTAATAAATAAAACAGTTATATTAAAAAATGAGGTAGTTTTTCATGGAATATCATTCACGTGCTTGGCAAAGAAAAAGCCACTTGCTTCTCAACTAGACTAAGTCCTGCAACGCTTTCATCGTTGAGTCCCTCAGCTCCCTCAGCTGTCAAATCATGTCAAATTTGGGCACGATGGATGTGCGAAACTTCCCCCTGAATTGGATGAATGATGGCATGATTTCAGATTTTTCCCAGGAATCCATTTCCTCCTGTTTAGTAGCTTGAAAGACGTGAAATCCCTTGTGAGGAAGGTCCCAAAAGTGCAAGCGAAAATCGACTAACGAATCCAAAGAAATGCAATTGGCTTTCCGTCGTCAAAGAAGGTTAGAGTTGAATAAAGGTCGGAAAAAGTTCAGGTCATGGAGAAACTTTTTTTTTTTCAAACCCATTTGCGAGCCTCCAAAGAAACGATCTCTTCAAAAGGATGACTTTTTAAAGAAATTCTAATGCGGAAGATTCACATCTACTGCAACTTACGGGTCGTGACCCACTTCTAGGTCGTGACCCACTCCTTGGTCGATGTGGGGCTTTCATTTGGGACGTCTCGGGCAAATAAATATTTAGTTTTCGTATCATGATCTCCTCTCGCCTGTTATTTTCAATTTGCCAACAGCCTTCCATATGGGTCATGGAGCCTAGAATAAGTAACATTTGGTTGGAAAAGGTTTGGAAGCGCTGATTCGTATCGATTCTGACCTGAGGAAATGGCAAAAAATGAGATACAATTCCTGGAATCGGGAGAATTCTGACGACGATTGTAAAAAATTGTTTTATCGATTTACGCCCACACTCTCCCGATAATCTCAAGCACGATTTTTAAAAGTATCGCCTTAAAAGGGACGAGAAACCGAATAATTTTTTGCAAATGTCCTGAGATGTGTTTGCCGACTAACGCTAGCATTCGTAACAGATTCGTGGCCTTCCGCATGCACTCTTTGTGACCCATGCTCAAAAAGAATTCACGGCGGAATTCTTTCATTGCATTTGCCATGTATAGTTTGAAGGCCTCTTAAGACAATCTTAATCGAGCAGCCGTCATCGAAATTCCGCATTATAAAAAAAGGATTTTTGGGATTTGCAGACGTCGGGGAGCATGGCAGGCGTGCACCCTCCCGCCCCCCCGCCCCCTCCCCCTCGGAGGGAGGGCTCCTCATGGTTTCCGCGGGACCCAGCCTCCCTCGTGAAGCCATGCCTCCGGCGGACCAACTCCAGCTCCATGTCCTCTCCTCTCGAGAGCTCTGTATGACCAAGTTTTTTTTTTTGCCGTCACATTGTGATCATGATGATCTCTGCTCTTCCAATCTATTCGGCTCAACCAGATCCATCGTTTAGTAAGGCTCAAGGAAAAGGACTGAATAGTCCTTTCTCAAGAATAAAAAAAAAAGTTAATAAATAATAATAAAATTTCCGATGCGATGTCACATGGCACAGCTGCGGAAGTTGCAAGAATATAAATGCCAGCTTTTTTGCATTGAAGAAACACAAAGAGCGATTCTCGATTCATCTCCTTCGCTTCTCGAATTGAAGGTATTTATATGAGGCCTTTCTGGACCTTGTGATAAACGTCTAATGATCTCATAAAACAAAAAGCCAAAAAAAAAGAAGCAAATGTATGCTCCTGAATGTCGTTCCCGATGAACCGTGTTCCTGGAATTTCCCTCCTCACCCTCCCCAATCGTTAAGGATTTCGTCATCCGTTGAGTATGGTGCGTTATGACCCCGTTCCAAGTGCCTTCCATGTTTGCCCATCTTCCAAAACGCCGTGAATAAAGAGTGTTTCTACCATGCTCTTTCACTATCCCGAGATGTCCGCGCTTTCTAGGTTGGGATCGAACGTGGGGGATCCTTCGACCGACGAATCACAATTTTAAAAGGCAAAAATGTACGTGAATACGTGTGAGCACCCTAAGTGTTTAATAAAATCGACCTTAAAGTAATACTATAAAACAAAAGACTCCAAAAGTCTACGTTCCTTGGTGAATGCGAACTCGAATTAAAGTGAAGAACACGGTTGACTTGGATTACTTATCACTTCTGAAGTTTCGGTTTACAAGAGTACTATTTTCGCTAAATAGCATCGGAAAATTTGAATGCTCCATCGGGCAACTTTCTGATCCTTCTGAACTTATCGAATGGTAAAACTATTCTGAAATATATAAATGGAACGAATTACTCGAGATTACTTGAGACCGGTCCCGTTTTCTGAAGCGAGACGAAACTGGAAACAAAAACTGCCATCTTTTGCAAATGAATTCCTACTAATTTTACATTCCACGGCACCTCACAAACCAAAGAAAGCAAATAGACGTGATCCCCTCCGAGTGGGAAGTACATCCCTTGAAACTCGTGGTCGACGTTTTTCCGCGACCGCGGCGCGATCCCCGGGTGGAAGAGCCAGCCTTCGTCGTCGTCTTCGAATTTTTTGCTCTTTCGGGCCGCGAATGCTCGCCAGGTCCCCGCCCAGGAGACGAAGGCATCGTTCTCGCGACGAATTCGCGACCGAAATGCGATTTTAAGCATCCCGATAGAGATTTCACCGTTTTTGTTGTCTACATTTAGCAAGATCCCCCAAGTCGAAAGGTCCATTTCGGGTTTCTAACACGGCTCAGTTCTAATTTTGGTCGAGGGAATATGCAAATGAGACGGACGAATAAGCACAGCAGAACGTGTAGGTTGCAAACTTTTTTGCATTTTTCACAGGCATCGGAAAATATGAGAACTCAGAATCGTTATGCCGACATCCCCCTGAAAGAATTTCACGACAGGAATCGGTCAGCATGAGAGAAAAAAAAAGGGGGGGGGGGCCAACGAGGAAAGCGACCGCAAGTAGTCAACTTAGTCTCTCGAGAGCCAGCGCGAACGCCAACTTCTCCTTCGAGTCCATCGAGCGTGCCGATAGAGAAGTTTCTACGCGCGGTGACACCAAAGTAATGACAACGCCCACGAACCCTGTCAGCCGCGACTTCGTCTTGTCACCGAAGAAAGCGCGGAATCAAGTTCCGAAGCTTTCTCTCTCGTTTGTCGGTCCGCCAATGAGTTCTCGAAACACGAGCGAATGCGAGAGGCACGACGTGCTCCAAACCGCATAGAATCCAGCGAAGAAACTGAGATTTTGAGATTTTTTCACACAAAATGCCCGCGGGGCGAAAGGCCGAGAAGCGGGTGAGAAGGTTCGACCTGACGCTCGAGAAGCCCCGTCTGCGCCTCCGCCAATCAGATCCTTTGAACGAGAGAGTGACGTCACGGTCAAACTCGCATCCCATTGGTCCTTTCGTCCAGTCGCGACCCGTCGGCCATGCCTGCTTCACGCTCCCGAGTTCCTGCCGGCGCGGGCGGACTCTGTCCGTGGAAAGCCTCGTTTCTGTTCTCTTTGGTACGCGTGTGTCGTTCGAGTTCGAGTGATGGACTTCAGTTCAGCTCTTCTTCGGCCTCTTTGAGGCGGACTTTGCCTGAAGCCATCGACCTCTGCTGAACGATGGGGAGCGAAGGCGTCGAAAGGTGAGTCCAAGAGAGTCTAACGTCACCAACACGGTAGTCGCCATGTATCCAAGGTCGCCATCAACATTTCACGACTCCCTCACGGCCTAACCATGGGAGCTTGGAGGCTGCCATGCTCCCGGTGCATGGCGTCACGTATATCGTCACTGACTAAAAGGCGGGATCATCCTACTTTGTTGCGTGCAATCCTTATGCCGATCGGAATGAGGCTCGCGCGTTAACAGGCATGCTTCGCGCTCGGCCAGCACAATCTCGTATTCGCGCAACTTTAGTTTCATTCCTCAACCATCGGGTACTGTTTCATGGTATTAGTTCTCCTTTGGCCTAAATTATCACTCTAGCCATGTCAGGAAGGATGAAGTCAGATGTTGAAAGGATAACAGCAATCACGGGGTGGCGACTTCCGATACACTGAAATAGGTCCATGTGGCGACTTAAGAAACAATGGCGACATCTATTGACAATTTTATTCACACGTGCAGCTTTCGAACACAATATAACTCTGTCATAATGTGACAGGCATATCTCAAGAAATCATTCATACTATGGATCAACAAAATAGGGAAACAATACGGAGCCTGCATGACTCATGTAATGCAAAACAATTCCTAATCATAATGATTATTCCCTTTGCAAAAACTTTTTTATTTACGTAAACTAATACGTTGACTAATAAAGACAGGTGTTACATACCGTTGTGTTAGACATTTCTCTTTCATTCGACCCTATGGGTCGTATAACTGGAGTTTCTCGAGTGACTATGTCCTCTTTGTACATTGTTTCTTATGGGTTTTGATTCCATTCCTTTCAACTCCTATCATTTTCATAGATCCACACATTTTAAAGCTGGCACAGAGCTATTTATGAACTTCTGGTGATACTTTAGTGGCACCAGTGCCTATCTCAGTGCCCAGTGTTTACTCTGCCCTTTTTGGAATTTTTTTTGCATTTTGAAAGCTTTTGTTCCCAAAAGTTGAATTCTTGAATTTTAAATTTTTTTATTTTGTGACCTCTTTTATATACCATTTGATGATTCCATTTCTTCTGATTCTACTGTGATCCCAGTTCAATTTTGGAGTTTTTTGTAATCTTATCTCATTTGGAAGTCAAAATAAATAGAGAGGGAAAGCCTGAGCAAGGCTCAGATTTTTTTTCTCCAAAAGTCAATGATATGTCGACCTCTGAATACTAAGCTGGGAATGGGGAGCGATGCGTAGCATGCTGCTTCGGTCAGTGGCGACTAAGTTAGACGCACCTGCACACGGAGACAATTTGAGTGGCGAGTATCGAGAATCCGCTCTCGGATCCTCTGAATACTAAGCAGGGAATGGGGAGCGATGCGTAGCATGCTGCTTCGGTCAGTGGCGACTAAGTTAGACGCACCTGCACACGGAGACAATTTGAGTGGCGAGTATCGAGAATCCGCTCTCGGAGATCGCCACGCCCGGATGTAAAAAAAAAATCAGCGCTGCGCACACGTGCGTGCGCGTGGTGTGGTGGTCATGTTACGTAAGTCACATGCATGGCCTAAGTGTCTTAGGCCAGTATTGGAATGGAGCTCCATTCCCATTGTAAAGAGAAAAAAGGTTGAAAGTGCAACGTAGTGGCGACTACCGTGTTGGTGACGTTAGACAGTGAGTTCAGGAAAAATGTAAACTTTCTGTTACATCCCTTGGGAGCATATTTTTTGAGTACGACGTTCTCAAATTCCCTAGGGAATAGTGCAGAAGTAGAAAAGTGTAAGCTGGCTAATAAATAATTCACGTGATGCTGATTTCAGAAAAACTCAGCGTATCAAAACAATTCAAGGCCTATTTTCTGATAATTTTTTTATCCATGAAGGAAAGAACTGAAGAAAGCTTAAACTTGGAGCAGAAGTACCTCTTCGATTATTGAGTGCAGGTCATACTTTTCAAATATGTCCCCTCATGATAGATTATCAAGAGATTTGAATTTGAGCACACAAGAAATAATAAATAATACAGGTATTTGCTATTATTTTGATAAAAAAATATCGGTTCGTCCCCTTATGGCACATATTTCGACAGGCACATACTTTCATGCGTTCTTGCCACTTCGAAAATGAATTAATGAATCACTATCCCGAGATTGGAGCGCCGATATCGCGATAATGGCGAGTTTATATGTAAATGGGAAGAAAAACTCGCTCGTATATAAAAATACGAGAATTCAAAAATAAAAAAATTCTTGCATTTTTAGCGAAATATTAATTACCAGTATCGCTATTAACGATCACATACATAACAGAAAAGCAGCAAGAAATCGAAATTAAGGGTAGAAATTTCATCGCTCATGGTGCTGACCATTGCGTTCATTTCTTGTTCCTGCACTTGACAAAGTCAGGCACCAGGCAAACACTCCTCGTTTTACGGCGGTTTCTTTATCGTAAAGAATGTCCTCACAGTTCAGAGTGTACCACTCCTATATTATATACTAGCGAGTTTGTTTGCCCTTCGGGCAAACAAACTCGCTATGGCCGCGCCTTCGGCGCTCTCTTACCTTGGATAGTGATTAATTCATTCATTTTTTGCGAAATGGGAAACACGTATTTAAAGTACGTCCCCATTGACATACGTGACATATGGGGTCGAATATCTTGATTTTTTTCATCAAAATCATTACCTCTATGATTCTGTGTGCCTAACTTGAAATCTTTTCTTGTGTCCTTTTTTGAAAGGGTGGAGAATACATTTTGAAAAACTTCCCTCCAATAATCTACGCTGAGGA